CCCCTTGGATAATTGACTCTGGAGCCTCAAACCACATGACTGGTAAGTCAAATTTATTTCAGGCATATAACCTCCTCTCTAGGAGAGATAAGGTGAGACTGAATGATGGGTCTTATTCCACCATAGTCGGTCAAGGAACCATCTCCCTTCCTCTTGATCTTACCCTCTCTAATGTGTTGCATGTTCCTAAATTACCTATCAATTTACTTTCCATTAGCAGTATTACTCATTCCTTGAATTGTTTAGTGACCTTCTTTCCTTCTTCGTGTGTATTTCAGGATTTGACCTCGGGGAAGACGATTGGTAGAGGAAGCATGGTGGATGGCCTCTACGTGTTGGAGAGTAAAGCCAGTCTTGTGGCTACAGAGTCTTTAAGTTCTTCTAGTGAGAATCATGCCTACTTGTGGCATAATCGTCTTGGTCACCTTTCGTTTGAGTCTTTACAACTTATGTTTCCTGAGTTGTTTAAGTCTTTGTTAGTTAGTAAATTGCAATGTCATACATGCCAATTGAGCAAACATTGTAGAAATTCCTTTCCTTTAAGAAATAAAAGATCTGAATTTCGTTTTCATATTGTCTATTCTGATGTTTGGGGCCCTATTTCTCTACCTATTGAGACTGGATATAAATATTTCATTACTTTGATCGATGACTACTCTAGATATACTTGGGTGTATCCTATGCGATCTAGAGATGAAGTGCCAAAGACTGTGAAAAAACTTTCAACGAATGGTTTTCACTCAATTTCAAACTGAAATTCACATTTTCCAGTCGAACAATGCAAAAGAGTACTTCCATAGTGATCTATCTATCTATATATATATATATATATATTAATATAAGTTAGCGCCGCCAGAATTGTAGTTGCACTATAGCAGACTCCAAATCTCTCTCTTCTCTTCTCTTCTCTCCTCTCTTCCTCTTCTCTTCTCGTACCTCTCTTCTCCTCTGTTCGGCTGTTAATAAATATCATTTTATCCAATACAACATTAGGTCACAGTTAGGCAAGGGAGTCTGCAGTTCTTGCAAGAAGAAATTCTATAAGCAATTCTTGATATGGAAAGAGACAAAGCTCCAGGGCCAGATGGATTTACGATGAACTTTATAAAAGATGTTGGTCTTTTACCAAAAATGATATCCTGAAAGGATTTGAGGAGTTTTACAACAATGGGGTCGGGATGTGTAGTCACAACTCCACTTTTATTTCCTTAACTCCTAAGGGGGGCAATGGAGCTGAAAGACTTTTGGCCTGTAAGTCTTATTGGAAGTGTATAAGATTCTGTCAAAAAGTACTAGAAAAGAGGATGAAGAGGGGAGGGTGGAGTATACCATTGTGATTCTCAGAGTGCATTTGTAGGAAATATACAAATCTTAGATGGGGTGCTAGTGGTCATGGACTCCAAAGTGAGAAGTGGTTCAGGGGGTATTATTTGCAAAGTGGAGATAGAAAAGGCCTAATGACAACATCATTTGGAGGTTCTTGAATTACATGGTGAGCAGGATGAATTCCGGCTCCAAATGGCATAGTTGGACTAAAATCTACATCACATCCCCTTTATTTTCTATGTTTATGAGGGTCTTACGGTTTTTCTTCAGCTCAAGAGACTTGAGGCAAAGGGATCAATCCCTTGTTCCCCTTTTTGTTTATTTGCATAACTTTAGTTCTGTCTCTAATGATGAATAGAGCTAATGGAAGCCATTCTATTGCGTGGCTTTTCAATTGAGGGAGTGCATAGGGAGGTGAATTTATTGCACTTTACCAATGATACTTTGTTTCTTTGTAATGATTCTAAAAAGCAAGTTTGAAATGGTGTCAGGGATGAAGGTGAACTTGTAAGAATTGGCTGATACTCTTGGGTGCAAGAATGGTTCCTTACCTTCCAAATAGCTTTCAACTTCCCTTGGGTGCTAGGTGCATTTCTAGCTCTTTATGGGATCCCATTGTGGAGAGGATTGATAGAAGATTAGCTTCTTGGAAAGCTAAATACTTCTCTCAAGGGGGCAAGGTTACCCTAATCAAGAGTGTGCTTCTTTTTTTTTCTTTTTGACAATAACTGAGAATCATTAATGCATTATTAATTCATAAACAAAAGATACAAATAAGGAGGAGATAAACTCTCTTAGCTCCCTCAGGAAGAGGCAAGAAAATGGATTACAAAAGAAGGCCCATAACTAAGAAACATAATTTTTAAATACTACTTAAAAGAAATAAAGAACGCTAAGGCACTTTCGGCCCATTCTCACTACATCCAGAATTTAGTGTTTCTTCCCACCACTAAGGCATCCCTTTTCACCCAATTCAGCTTGATATCCATTCCTTGAATCGAACGTCTAAATTTCCTGTTTTTTTCATTGATGTAACCCCACTATCTCCACTCCTCTTTTTGAAGCCAACAAATAACCAGCTCAGAGTTCCCTTCAACTAGTGTGCTTTCTTCATTGCCAACTTGCTTTTTGTCCCTGTTTCCAACCCAACCCCATCAAAGGTAGCTAGTATTGTCAAAAAAAAAGGGATGAGGGATTTTCTCTGGAGTGGATGGAGGGATGATTCTAAAATATATAGAGTAAGCTGGAAGAAGGTTTGTTCTTCTAGAAGTTCTGGTGGGGTAGAGTGAAAAAATGAAAGACGTGAACTTATCTTTGCTTGGTAAGTGGCTGTGGAAATTTGGCAGCCAGGAAGGGGGGGGGGGACATGGAAGGAGGCAATTGGGGCTGAATATGGAAGAACAGAATTAGGTTGGTTATACTAGAGAGGTGACTTCTTCTTACAGTTGTGCTATGTGGAAAGGAATTGGTAAAGCTAAATCCGAATTTAATAAAGGAATTGAGTATAGCATTGTAGTGGACAGGTTGAAGGGCTAATAAGGGCTACGGGTAGACCAAAAAGGACATGGGTAGAAAGAGTAAGAAATTATTTAAGCACTAATAATTTAACAGTGGATATGGCATTAAATAAAACAGATTGGCAAAACAGGATTCATGTATCTGACCCCATATAGTTGGGGATAAGGCATGATGATGATTGGAGTGGACAACAGGATCAGATTTTGGTTATTTTCCTACTTTAGTGTGGTATTCTGTTGCTCCCTCTAAGATATCAATCCTGATTTGAACAGCCACTCTTGATAGGTGTCTGACTAAGGAAAACTTGATAAGGAGGGGACAGGGGGTTGCCAAGCAGTACTTGCAGCCTATGCAATGATGCTCCAGAATCTGCCAATCACTTGTTTATCCATTGCAAGGTTGCAGATGCTTGGTGGATTTGGGTAAAGAGAGCTTTTGAGTTGATAGGGTGAAATTCAGAATTGTTTATTGAACTTCTTTTGAGTTGGAAGCTTAAGGAATTAAGCAAAGAGGGGTTCATAATTTGGAGGACTTCTGTACATGTCGATGTGGTGATGTAGAGTATATGGACTGAGAGGAATCTAAGAATTTGTTAAAATAAATTTGAATCTCAAGATGGGATGACGTCTATTTTGAAGGGCAGAACTTTGTTTTGGGTTAGTGTTCACAGGTTGTTTCAAAGTAAACCATACAACACATTTTTTGATAGAGATACTTTTTTTGTAAATCAGGAAGCTTAAATTGTACATTCCAAGTGTACAGTTCCTTGGTGTACATGGAGCTTGTAATCTTTTTCTTTCATTAGTTTAATATCATACTTCACCCTTTCAAAAAAATGAAAAAGTTTAAACTGCAATCAATTCTTTTGAAGAATGGGCAAGGTCCCTAGTAAACTTGATTGTAGCAATTGGTCCAATTACTTCTTTTAGAGGATTTTTGGTTGTCATTTTTTGACGGAGAAGGTTATCAGATGCTGCAGAAGTTCAGCAACATACCCTGTAGATTTACTGTTAACATAATCATGTCTACAAAGAAATGGTATAAATCTACCCAAAAGGAGAAGTAATACCAGAGGTGCCTTATCAAAACAGAAGCTATCTAATTAAACTGAATTTTGATGGACTCCTCCAGATCACAAGCAAGGTGGACTCCTCTTCCAGAAGGAGTAATTAAACTGAATTTTGACGGCAGCAGTCAAGGTAACCCAGGGCCTTCAGGAATTGGTGGAATTTTGAGGGATAATAACAGCAACATTGTATCCTTGTTCTCAGGCCCAGTAGGAGTGGGTGACTCAACAAGAGCTGAATTATTAGCAGCTGTACAAGGCTTACAGATAGCAAGCCAACTTGAAGTGGAAAATCTGGTAGTTGAAGGAGATTCCAAGGTAATAGTTAGCTGGCTGCAGAATTCGGACACTGTCACTTGGGGCTACAGAGATCTTCTGAGGAAAGTAAAATGGATTACAAGAAGCATGACAGTAAATTTCCAATGGTCAGCAGATCAGCTAATGCTTTGTCAGGCTTTTTGGCTAAGCAAGGGGTTTCTCAGGCATCTTTGTATTGGGCTAATTTGTAATCTTATAGTGCTTGGGTCTGTACTCGTTCCTTTGGGGAGGTAGCATCTTGTGCCTCCTCAAAGGCTGCTTGTACGTCCCTTTTCTATCTCCTTAATAAAATTGCCTAATCATTCATCAAAAAAAGAAAAAAAAAAATAAGCCATCTAATGAATATTCCATTCACTTGAATATGTGCAACATATGGAGAGAAAAAGAAAATATACCAGAGAAAATGTAATTTCAATACCTGTCCATGTTGACTGTTGGTCACATGCAAGCTTTGTGTAACTGACCCACTACCACTTGCAGGTAGAGTATTACTACTAGCTGGATCTAAGTGCAGTTGGACAAACTGTGGATTGAACAAAGAGAAAGGATCACAATGATATTTGCAGTGAACATGAAAGAATACTACCACTTGTAATTAGACATGCAATGAAATTAGATATTAAGCAACACATTTAGCTTAATGTGTGACTGTCCAAAATACCACTCCATTCACCAAAGCACATTGCTTGGAGATATGCTCTAAGAGGAGGATAACAGGATAAGATCTAAATTTTCAAATTGCGAAGCACAAAAAGATAGTGATGTTAGAAGCAACTTACGTGGCAAGTTACTGTATCGATAACCAGTTAAAAGCATCATATCCTATTATAAAAGTTAAATTATTAAGCATATATTTCTGAGGACACAAATTGGGGGGGGGGGCTCAACTAATATACTTTTTTTCGGGCACTCAACTGATATACTTTAGGGAAGTTATCCCATATGCCAAAGCAATTTGGGCAATCATTTTTCACATAACTCTTTCTTTTTCTTTTGATGGTAACCATGGTAACCATAACAGACCTATAATTCCTTATTTTCTGGTTATTAACAAACACAAACCTCAACAAATTTTCCCCGTAAAACCTACTTTACCTCTTAACTCCCTTCATTGACTTCATAGGATTGACACATCTACATCCATATTATATAGAAGAAAAAGGGAGGCCAAAAACAAGGTTTAAAATTTTGCAATGTATCAGGTTGTATTGGCCAATACACATTGTTCGAGTAGGGGATAATGTGGAACACATAGAAACCCAATGTTGTGTTCCTCTTTCATATGTCTCAGGCCAATACGTGCCTGCATCAGGTCATTTCGGGTGTGTATCAGCCAAAAAAATACGATTTGAACTCTGGTCAATGGTTTGTAATGACCATAAGTCCACCATTACACCATACTCTATTTACTTGTCCAAATCACATGCATTAAAGTTTATATACTAATAAATATCAAGACAAATTATATTGATTTTCGGAAAATTAAGGTATATACATACACATTTTAGTTCTTCCAACATTTAAGTAAACTTCTACTTGTCGTTATGAATATATTTTTTTTTTATTTATTTGAGTTTCCTAGTGTACCCATGTTTATCTGGATTTTGTATCCATATCCATGTGTATCCAATGTTTTAAAAGTGCAAGGCGCAAAAAAGGCGCAAGGGTCAATTTGTGCCCAAGGCACAAGGCGCAAGGCAAGGCGCACACCTTTTTGAAGCAAGGCGCAAAAATACAAAAACAAAATGCTAAAAAATAAAAAAAGTCAAAAAATTCAAAAAATGCCAAAAATTCAAAAAACAAAAAATATTAAACATAATATTAATAAAAAATATAAACTTAAATTTTAAAATAAATGTGGAACACATAGAAACCCAATGTTGTGTTCTTCTTTCATATGTATCAGGCCAATACATGCCTGTATCAGGTTATTTCGGGTGTGTATCAGCCAAAAAAATACGATTTGAACTCTGGTCAATGGTTTGTAATGACCATAAGTCCACCATTACGCCATACTCTATTTACTTGTCAAAATCACATGCATTAAAGTTTATATACTAATACATATCAAGACAAATTATATTGATTTTCGGAAATTTAAGGTATATACATACACATTTTAGTTCTTCCAACATTTAAGTAAACTTCTACTTGTCGTTATGAATATATTTTTTTAGGATTTATTTGAGTTTCCTAGTGTACCCATGTTTATCTGGATTTTTCATCCATATCCATGTGTATCCAATGTTTTAAAAGTGCAAGGCGCAAAAAAGGCGCAGGGGTCAATTTGTGCCTAAGGCGCAAGGCGCAAGGCGCAAGGCAAGGCACACACCTTTTTGAAGCAAGGTGCAAAAATACAAAAACAAAATGCTAAAAAATAAATAAAGTCAGAAAATTCAAAAAAATCAAAAAATATTAAACATAATATTAATAAAAAATATAAACTTAAGTTTTAAAATAAATGTTTTAAAAAACCTATTATCTAAAATTAAAATACATAAACATAAGATGTAAAGCATATTCAAATGGGAATTTAAAAATAAAATAAAACATATAAAACATTTTCAAGCATATAAAACCTCTAATCTCTTTTTTCACTAAATCGCATTACTTCAAGTAGCTAATGTAATGTAAAACATATTACATTCATGATTCTACGAGCTGCCTTTGTACCTCACCTGTAATATGTAAAACATATTACATACATCTCTTAAAGTTGCCTTTCCAATACACCTTGTATCTCCAATACTTTGAACCCTGGTCAAGAGTCCTTTCACCTCAATGCTTGCACTTTCCTCCTCCCCTTTCTCACACATGTGGCTTATTTATTTTTAAATTTAAAAAAATATAAAAATCATATAACCATCTCAAATCTTAATTATCTCAAATAAAATCCTTCTTAACTCTCCCTCTCCCTCCACTCTCTAATAAAACAGGGGTATAAATTGGATGGGTTACTAAAGGATCAAATCAAGCCCATCCTTAGACACATGGTTCAAAGTACCAATACACTAGATATGCCCAAACATGTGTATCAAGCATTTCAGGTTACCAAGGGTCCAAAACTCTTTTTTTTTTCAGATTTTCAGCTTCATATTTTGACAGGGGTTATCTCACATCAATCTTTAATGTTTAAAACCATTTAAATCTTTCAACTCTTAAAATTTAGCATTCTGATGACCCTTTGGAACGATGTGATATGTCCAATATGGGGTGTATTGTATCGATACTAAGAACCTTGCTTAGACATGGACATTGTGCCCAGCCATAGACCAAGGCCAAAGCCCAATTTTGCAATTCAAACCACACCAAAGCTAAACCCAAAACAACTTAGGATGGCTCAGGTGGGTATTGTATCGATACTAAGAACATTGCTTAGACATGTACATTGTGCCCAGCCATAGACCAAGGCCAAAGCCCAATTTTGCAATTCAAACCACACCTAAGCTAAACCCAAAACAACTTAGGATGACTCAGGTGGGTTCCACTAGGCTTGGACAGGTTGTTCAAATTTGAAAGTCTTCTCACTAGAGGTGATAATTACTGGACAGGACGGCCTACATGTCATAATATAAAATGTTATATATTTTTAATATAATATATTTAAAGTTATAGGCCTGGAAGCCTAACCCAGTCCCATGTAGGGCCAGCCTGGGCTCATATTTCCAACTCAAGTTGCAGACTAGAATTCTCAAACACTTCTTCATTAATTGGTATGCACAAAAATATTTATATAAAGACTATCAAATTTCTAATCAACCCCATGCATTGCATGGGTTTACTACAAGTTTCCATCAAAACTTTGAACCCCATAATTCATTAAAAAGCTTCAAATCTAACCTTTTAAACTTTCCTTGATTATCAAATCCTTATTCTTTATACCTAGTGTAAGAGCATGTGTTATAAATGCGTGCCAGTGTTTTAAAAGCGCAAGGGCCATTTTGCGCCTAAGGTGCGAAGTGCAAGGCGAGGCTCACACCTTTTTGAAGCAAGGCGAAAAATGGTAAAAAAACTCAAAAAAAAAAACCAAAAATTCAAAAAATTTCAAAAAAAATGCAAAACATTAAAAATATTATACACAATATTAATTAAAATATAAACTTAAATTTTAAAATAAATGTTTTAAAAAACCTATTATCTCAAATTAAAATACATAAACATAACATGTAAAACATATTTAAAATGAAAATTTAAAAATAAAGTCAAGCATAACATATAAAACATATTCAAGCATGTATACTCTTATTTTTTATTAATAATCTCTTTATTTTTTTTCCAATTGTGTTACTTCAAATAACTAATGTGATGTTAAACATTATGCATTCCTGATATACGGCTGCCTTTGTACCAAGCCCCTCAAGGCAAGCCCAAGCAAGTCCATATTAGGGTCTTAAATTCTTAATCCCTATAAAAAGGTTTTATAACTTTAAGTGTCTTTTTAAAAAAATCTTTTATTAGGATGAATGAATGAGCAATATTAGCAAATATGGGGTTCTCTCCGCTCCAGTCATAAAATACAAAAAAAATGCACATTTTCAAAAGCCGTGTGCCTGGGCTGAAGCGCAAGGCACACCAAGCATGTGCCTTTTGAAAGTGCTAGCCATTTAGCCAAAACATCTGGAGTCCCCTAACCAACTCAAATCCCATAAACCCATTCCTAGCCAGAACACCTGCCCAGAGATTTGCAGATCTAGGAAGCAACCTGAATGAGCTGTTCAACTTAGATAATAAGGTATTTTATACTGTGAGATGATGACAAAGCGACTATGGGCCCTCACAATTTCCAGAAGTTCTGCCCAATCACCACCCAGCAATCTACTTCTACTAACAAATCCTGCCAGCCTGGTGAAGCTTACAGTATAGAAAGAAGCTCAGCTCTTAGAGAATTATCATCGTCAGCCAGTGTTCTCCCCTGATGGGCCTTCGTTCCCAAGGGATCAGACATCAAAAAATTCACTTTTATCTTTCCAAAATCAGACACTTGCCCAGCCTAAAACAAATGTTATCTTTGTGGAGCAAAGCAAGCAACCACATTCAAGTCCCTCAAAATAGAGTACTTAGCTATTTGTTTCAATTGTTCCTAGTTCAAAGGTATTCCTTTGTACAACAACTAAATAAGAAATGATAGGGACTTGAGCTCCTTCTTGTTGAAAATGGCAACAAGATTAAAGGGTCTAATATTAAAGGCCTATTACTTTCGCTGCACAATAGCACACTAAACAAAATWGTAGTTCATGTCATCCCATGAGAAGTGAACAAATAAGGCACAAAAGTACGGTGAGTTAATCATGAAATAAGGCTCTTACAAATTTTGATTAAAAACATTTTACATGCATGGTTCTTCAAAATCCAAATGTATGATGCTTACAAAACTTTGATTAACCATGAAATTTTCTTTCATGGAGAAAATAAAAAGAGGTAACCTATTATCAAATAAAAAATTTATTGTAAGGTAGTGATTTTTCTCAAGAAATTAACCTTTTCAGTTATAAATTCGCAAGGTAGAAAAGAAAATTCAAAACAAAGCCATAATATAGGTATGGAAGTCTAGTAGATCAGTGAAGAAGTGTTACCTTTGGAACTGCTGCCTGAAAAATAAAATCTGTATAGGCATTAGAAGACATATTTGTAAAAGTAGCCTGGATAGATGTTGTTTGTGGGTTTCCAGGCTGCTTTGAGAAGTTGAACATTATCTTCAAGGAGCTACTCTGAAATGCAACTGTAGAGGGATAAACTGGACCATTGTCTCCTGTTTAAACAAAGAAAAAAGGTATCACTATTTTGAACATAAAATTTCAGAGATTAACAGAAGTTATTTTTATTTAAGATTCTCTCAGAAAGAGATCAAGTCCTTGGAGTTTTGTTACCTGGGGTTGACAAATTAGGGGTCAATCCATCCAATAAATCCATTACTGGGGAAGCTCCTGCAGAAGAAACTTGCGTGGGAAGTGGAGAAGAAAGTGATGATAGTCTCTCCAATGGCACAACTGGTTTTTTGGTATCGGTACCAGAAGATAATATGTCAGCCGTTGATACGTTGTTTTGTACAGGAGGTGTTCCTATTGATAGAAGATCTAGCAGCATATCTGCGCCACTTGATGGAGCCTGGCTTGTGCCTTTACACAAAATGCTAAACAATGTCAAAATCAATGTATATATGCCTGGAAACTGACCTCATTGTAGGGAAAATTTGAAAAGAGAACTATGGAAATCTAGATAAAGCATAGAGAAAAACAAGACCAAATGAAATTGCCACTAATACTGCAAAAGGAATAAACTCAACCAACAATAACCAGTCCTTTCTGTAACAGATGAATACTCTGGAAAAAACAAAGTTGTGCCACACCAAGCATATAGACTTTATCCAAACCAATAAATAAAGGGCCTCCAACCAATACTCTGAATCATGTAAAAAGATATCTCAACAAAAAAGATGGTTAGGAAAACTTACAAGTCCCAGGTACAGATATGGACATGGACACAAATACAGGAAAAGGGATTTGGACTCTCCATTTCCTAAAATCTTAGACATGGATATGGGTATGTCTATCTCATTACTATGCTTATATCTATCTTTAAAGCTAAAGATCATTTTTTTCAAGATTTTTGTCAAATTTAATTGAATTTCTAACATGTACAGGTCTTTTTATAGTATAATTTATTAAAATATACCATTTTACATATTTTAAAAGTATAAAGGCTATAAAGTATGTCTTGAAGCATCCATGCAGTATCTGGTATCATATCCAACACCAGTATGCTAGGCATTTATAGGTATCTGGGTACCATTGTTGAAAACCTGTTAAAAGAGCACAAACTTCCACTTTGTCAAGTCTGCAAATCCAATGGAATCATTAAATGCACAAAACACCACTTTTTACCAGCTTTTTATTTGTCTTCATTTGTTTGCATTAGGTTTAGATGAAACACAACTGGGAAATGGGCCCAAATCAATAACTGTCCATTTCTCTGAAAATAAGTAAACTTTTCGTCCACATGAATTATTTTTAGTAAAATAGTGGTTCCAGGAGTAACATGTTACTGCCTAATCTAAGTAAAATGGTGTTCAACTAATAACTGGAAAGCCAAACTGAATTTAAAATTTTACCTGACTCCCATTTTACACAAACTGAGCCACAAGAAAAATATGGCATTTTGATAGTCCAAAACCAATTAACCAAATGCAATGCATTGGAAGGATAACAATTGGTGAGTTGTGGACATAATTTCTAAGTGATGCATCAAATATAAAACATCCAGAATGGAGTTTAACTAAAAGGAAAAGAAAATACAGAACTTATAACCATGTCTATTTCCTTTATTGGTAGTCTGTGCAGGGAAGCAATACGAGAAATGTTGTTTCCACTATTCTTACAGAAAATGGCATAAAATAATGTAGAAAATTACCTGATAATGATGGAAGTGCCAAATCTACACCAAGCAGGTCTTGAAGAAAATCACCACCAGAAGAGCTAGGTGCAGGGGTATCATCTGAACTTAGGTCAAGTAAATCGACAAGAGGAGCTGCAGCAGGTTTGGCAACTCCATTTGGAAGGTTAAGTGAAGCTCCCTTGGAGGTTGAAACAGTTGTCGGCAATGAACCAGCTCTCCTTCCACTATAAGTTGCTTCATCCAGAACCGGCATTCGTTCAACCAAAGAAGACCTGAACGTATTCATACAGCAGCTTCACTAGGCATTGAATTACAGCATTGCTCTTCTCAAGAAAAACAGAATTCATCAAATACTTGCCTGATATTCTGATGCTTCTCAATAATAGAATTAAATTCAATAGATCTTTGCTGCAATTCTAGTACAAGGTTTCCTTTATGCTGATTGATTATTTCCTTAATCCTCCTGCATACATTAAAGATTCATCATATGTGCAATGAAATTAAGGTGTATGGTAAAGACTGTACCAAGAGGAGGACATGGAAGGAATAATGATCAGTCGACTGATATTACAGCTGATAACACCCAATAATAAAGAGAACAAAGATCACATCTGGGAAAGCAAATAAAGATACAGACCCCACCAACACTAAAGAAATGCATAAGATAAAAGAGTATGAAAATGCAAATTGTTTGGATGAACACTTTTAAATGTATACAGTGTAGGCAACTAATCTGGACACATATCACCTCATTCAGAGTATATTTTCAGTTCCCAGGCTTAAGGTTTGAAGGGACCAGGTTGTTTATGATTGCCTTGTTGACTTAAACCTTTTGTGTAGCTGAACATACTCCCTTATAACCAGTTAGCGTAAATTTTGTACAGTTTTCAGCTCATTTCTCTTAATATCAATACAACCAAGCTTTAGTGGACAGAGGCTCTTATTGGAGCCAAAATGGAAACTTCATGACAGGATACTCGCAATATGGCATAGATGCATATACATGAATATAATACATCTTTTTGCTTAAATGTTGTACATGTACAAGCATGTAACACCTGGAGTAGATTTACTCTGTCAACAAACAGCCATTATTTTACTTTCAGATATACTATAAACAACTTATTTCATAGTACAGGTATACGAGGTGGTGGAAGAGGAATACAATTTCAAAGAGTTCCACTTGCAATTATTAACAAAATAAGAAATGCTGGAAAGAAAACACATCCCTTTTCTGATGAATGAGAAGGAATACAAATATTATTTATCCTAATTCTGAAAATCATACAATGATTTCTCAAGAAAATTTAAATTACTAGTCTGAACAAAGACTTTATAAGGGCATGTTCAGAACTATTGACTGCAGTATCTGGGTATTGATAGACTGATCATCCAGGGTAACTCGAGAACTGTTGTGAACTGGCTGAAGAAGGGAGAGAAGGGGTGACATGGCATCTGAGGAATGAATTCAGGCGATTTAAATGGCTCTCAAAGGACACGACAATCTGAAATGGTTGAGGAGAACTGCCTGGCAGATGGTCTAGCTAAGCAAGGGGTACTTTGGTAGACGAGTGAATAGATGCCAGTTACAATGGGTGGTTATTTTCCAGGAGAGTTGAATGCTACATGTAATCTGGTAGTAGGACTAGCCTATGGGGGGTGTGGCACAAATTTATTTCATTGTCTATAATTCCTTCTACACATGTAAGATAATTTATATTTGCATGGGAATGACTGGTAACTAATAGATGCAGTGTGCAACTGGGCATTGAGTGCGAAGAAAAACATGAAGGTCAGCGGGGGAAGCTTGGAAAGAGGGAGGGAAGGTCAGTTCCTGCGAGCAAAAAGATGGAAGAAAGTGTTGAAGGTGGAAGCGAAGACTTTCATCTTGGAAGAAATCTGGACTACAAATGG